CAATGGCCCACAAAATTAAAAACATCAAGATTTATTATTGTATCAGAAAACAGAAACAAATAAATGATTATCAATAAAGGGGTAGCTGAAAATCTGTGGTATATTGATAGCATGGACTATTATTTTGCTTTTTGTATATGACTACATGAGTTCACAGAAAGATACAAAGGATATCCAGCAGGGTATTACTGGCAGGAAAGAGAAAACTGGAGGTGAAGAGGAAAGAAGAAAAAGAAAAAGGAAGAAGGAGAGAAAATTTATGAAATGGCAGTTTTTTAGGATACAATTTCATTTATGTAAAACTTTATGTATATATGAATATGAAGAAATATCCGTAAGAGAATGACTACCATGGATTTCTGAAGTCAGTACAGTACATGTACAGTTGTCCTTTACATATTGCGTATACTGGGCTTTTTACAATTTGAAAAATTATTAATTTTTTATTGTTTTAACTTTTATACCATGTATATAATTCAAAATACATTAAAATTATTTTGTGATGTATTATATACTGCATATAATATATAATATACAAATGTATGATGTGTGTATATGTAATATGCATGTGCATATAATATATGATTTATACACAATATATGGAGAGACTGAGAAAGAGAGAATGAATGAATGAATCAGACCAAGGATCATGTACCAATCCATGATAACTCAACCTAGCTATTGAGCAAATGTTAAGTTAGAGGCTACAGCCCCAGACTATAATCAACCTGCTTGACAAACTGTTTGTTCCATCAAGTATATTCTTTTTAAAAAGGGCCTTTGCTGATTTTGAATTGGAATTTTCTTTGAAGACTCAGCTAATGTCATATCTTCTTAATTGGCTTTTCCACTTTTTTCAAATGTTTGACATCTGAGAAAAGCTTCAAAATTTCTTTTACATTTACATAATTTTTGGTATTTCATTTTGAAAAATGAAATGCAACAGTATGTAGGAAATGTCTGAACTCTTACTACTTCAGGTTGTACAACCCTCAGGTTTTATCAATTTCCCTTCAAACTGAAAAAGAATACTGCAATGGAAGAAGAAAGTGTCAAAATCTAAAGGCAAACACAAACTTGTGGAAGACACACTGATTCTGCCTGATTTAAATAAACTAGTGTTTTCATCAACCTAAACTTTGAATAAATAAAATATCTAGCTACTTAAATTTCAGAAAGCACATTAATTATTTTGTTGTATAGAACTTAAGAAGTTGGAATAATCAAAATATCCAAGAACTGATGCAGGAAATAAAGATTAAATTAATCCAGGTATAATTTCTATGCCATTATCATCACCATATGTCTCCTTAATTAGCTTCCTCCTTTGGGACTTTGATGTTTTGCAAGATTTTCTCTCCCAAAACAAATGCATTTATAAGATAATAATTAATTAATTTTTTAAAATTCTTAATGAACCAATGACATGTAAAATTGCTCATCACAATTACCGATCAAGGCAAAGAAACCAGTGTTGCACATATAGTTGAATTAATTTATTCAGAGAAAAATAAGCTGCTATCCTGGATCAATGCATGATTTCTGCTACTTCTTTAAAATCAGGAGAACAATTCAAGATACATCCTGGAGCTCAAAGCACCCAATGACCTCTGTTTCGAAACCAATGTTCCACAGTCAAAGGGTAAATTGAAGTTAAACATCAGCTTTATTTTAATTCAAAATTTAATTTAAAAATAGCAAATAACTCTGGAAAAGTGTGTCAGAATTCATTTACAAGAAAAACTGCTCAGAGATGACCCATGAAAAACATAAGCCTTGACCTAATACCAAGGGTGGAGAAGAGAAGTGGGCGAGAGTGATGAGCTCTCAGCAACTTTCCAATTTCACTTACAAAGATCCAAGTAACGGAGACCAGAAGGCAAACATGTCAGTAGAGACAATAAAATATTCGATTACCTTTTTGCATCTATTTCTTCAACTTCTTTAATCTAGATTTTGTTTTCTTTTTCCTGCTCTTAAGAGACAAATGCAGATGAACCCACAATCTCTGGAGACTAAATCAGATGATTAACTCAAAACAAATCCTTTGAAATCGCCATGTCTCATGGCAGATGCAGGAAAGGGTAAATTACTGGCCATTCTGAAAACTTCCCACACAAGAGAGAGTTTGGAAGTACACATCCAAAACTGACAGTATCTTCCAACCATGAAAAACAGGGATGGCAAGTGTTAAAATGTCGAGAAGTGTGCAAGTTTGGATTTTTTTGTTTTCTGATATCTTTAAAACATAAAGAGCATGAAAGTAGTAAACACTACATCATGATGAATGCATGTTAATTCTACTTTGTTCATTCATAAAACACAGAGATCTCACAGAAGAATACTGTACCAGTAATTTCAGACCATTACTCCATGAATGATTCAGCATCTGAAGTCAGAATAGGTTTTCTTAGTAAGCTGCTATTTCCTTTACAAAGTGACTACTTTGAACTTACTGTTACCCTTTAAACTCTTACAGTGAATAATTAAAACTAAACTACAAAGCATATTTTGTGAGGCTGATTACACTATAGATTGTATGTTTCTGCTTAGTGACTCATTTTAAATGGTTGCCAGTTACCAGAGGGATAACTCTGCCATTTGTCTTCATCTACAAGATTGGCTGGACCCAAAAAGCAGCTCCAAATCATAGTGGAAGGGTGTTGTTCATGACTCACCATATTTACAGCGGGGACCATGGTATCCCTGTGAACACTGGCATAGCTGGGCTTCACCATCTGAACATTTCCTTCCATTGAAATGAGTCCCCGCAGCAAAGACAGCTTTAGGAAGGTGAGCGTGGAAGGTGAGAGAATGGAGTTGGGAGAAAGAAAATCACCATGTTGCTAATACAACATAATCTAGAAACTTCTACCAGACAAAAGTGTTATTACAAGTCAAGGCCTTACTCTCCAAACCCTCACATAATTCTCTGTGAAAAAGCAAATGCAGAATCTCAGACCCACCTCAGGGTACAAATCCCTATTTTAGCAAAATACCAGATGATGTCTAATCACATTAAAATTTGAGAAGTACTACTCTAGAAAACTCCATGGAAATACATACCTTGGACAGAGAATGAATATCTAGAATATACAAAGAACTCAAAACAATCAAATCCCTCAAACAAAAGACCCAATCAAAAAATGAGTGACTGAAATGAACAGACAATTCTCAGAAGAAGTACAAATGGCCAATGAATACATGAAAAAATGTTCAACATCACTGGCAATTAGAGAAATGCAAAGTGGAACAACACTGAGATTCCATCTTACTTCGGAAAGGATGCCTACCATCAAGAATCAAGTAATAAATCCTGGCAAGGCTGTAAGGGAAAAGGAAACCTTCTACAATAGTGGGAATGTACAGTAGTACAACCACTATGGAAATCATTATGGAGATTCTTCAAAAACTAAAACTAGAAATTCCATTTGACCCAGCTATTCCCCTTCTAAGTTTCTTCCCAAAAGAGTTAAAGACATCATATTACAACCATACATGCATACCCATGTTTGTAGCAGCCCAAGAACTAAATCTTGGAAGCAGCCTATATGTCCATCAACATATAAATGGATAAAGAAAATGTGGTATTTATACACAATGGAGTACTACTTTGTCATAAAGAAGGATGAACTTGAGTTACTTGTAGGAAAATGGATGCACCTTGAGACCATAATATTAAGTGAAATAAATAAGATACACAAATATTAAATATTGCATGAAAAGCCTAAAATATACAAAAATTAAAGAGCAAAGTAAAAGATAGGTAATAAAAAACAGGGCTATAGATCTTTTGCAAATGGGAAGTGGATATTAAAATAAATTAAGATGTGGTATGTACATGTATCAATATCACACAATGAATGCAATCATTGTGTACTGCAAACATGTACCAATAAAAACTAAAAAACAAAAAAAGAAGAAGAAAGAAATTGCATGGATAAGATGACTGAGTGGCCAAAAATCTAAAAATGAAACAAAAATACACATACTTACCTAGAGGCAAAGGACTATGAAAGGTATCATACAAAAACAAACAGTTCATCTCACAGTTCTTAATTTTAGGGATTTATAACATTGTTGAGCTGATATCATGGACAGATCTTTTCACTGATCTTAAATCAGCGAGCTGCAGTGGCCTAGCACTTCTTAGAAATACACAGTGACCCTCAGTGCACCAATCAACACTAAGCCTGCTTAATATGGAAGCCTGCAGCAACCTCACTAAAATATTTCAAGAGCAGAGTGCACATTGGGGAAGGAAACAGGCTGCCAACAAACTTCCTAAGGTACAGAATAGCAGGAGGGATGAATTGTGCTGCGGTGCCACACTGATTGCCACACACTGAAGCATTTTAAGTGACTTCACAATAACCATAAACACATAATATAGGTAAAGGAGTTGTTAAGCGGAACCATTTCTCCTGGCATGAATCAACTATATAATGCCACTAGTTCTGCCACCTAAGTGCTGTCAAACACACTCCAAAGGTTCTGAAATACCCTCATAAGAGGTTTGAAAAAGGACTGCACACCTCATTTTAAAAAGTAAACTGCCTCCACAGTTCTGCAATTAATCATGACAAGAACAAGTTGAGAAATCCCATTTAGATTTAGTACAGTGATTTCCCTCTGGACTTTTGAATCAACTGTGGATTACAAATTTGATGATATGGGAAAGGGGCAAACAGAAAAGAGAGATGAAGTCAAGGTGTAACCTGCCTGGCTTTAAATCAACTGTCTTTTAAATAAAGAGACAGAATATAAAATAGTGCTTTCACGGATCCTGAGTCATGACCTATCATTAGAAAAGCTTACCAGAAAGGCTTTCGTGCATTTTTGCACATGTCATCTGTGAATATTCAGTCCAAAGTGATGCTCTGAATGTGTGGTGCTGCTAAAGATTGCAAAAACTTGACAAGCATGATATGATTGAAGCCAAAAACAAAGCAAAACCATTCCTTCTAGTGACAGAGTTAGACAGAAGAATTATAACTTACAGTGTAGGCAGCCCGGTTCATCATCCCATTGGCTCCAACCAGGGCAGCACCTGTGAACTGTCCGCTGCTCAATGCTGTACACCTGTCTGTACACAGTGTAGTACCGGGTCCTAATGAACACAGGAGTCTGGATCATTTCAAATCAGCACATTTCTCCTTCCAACTCATGCCCCGCCATGGACTGACTGATCAATAGATAGAGGGATGTACTTGTGAATTTATATATGTGTGGATATAATTTGTATATATTATATATAATATTATTATGTAGCATATTATATATATTATATTGTATATGTATATTATTATATATATTATATATATCATTACATTTGCAACCAAGCTTTGTTATATGTATAGATTAATGAAAATTAAGAAAGACCCCATGGTTATCATATAGGATACCTTAACCACTCAACCTACTGAGAATGAAATCCATAATCATAAAAAGAATAACGAAATCCTGTAGGATGATAACGTATATGCTTTTCAAATTGGCACTGAATGCTCCTCATACATTAATTGCATTACATCGTGAATTCTCAATCATACTGCTATCACCCACAAGGGGACTACATTTAGTCTTGGAGGGGAATGAATAAACTAATTCAATTGTGGGCTGCTCTGTGGAAGAACACAGTATATACATAAAGTATATGTACAGCATTAAAATTTCACAGGGGATGGGAGAATTATGGGAAAAAGGTTTTAAAAAGCTCCTCAGGTAGGAAATCATGAATAAAAGTTAAAAACACTGAACTATTTTGTTGTCCTATCAACAGACATCTCTGAATAGATCAATGTCCTTCCCGTCACCTCAATGATATATTTATCCTTTAGTCCCCAAATACTAACATTTGTTTCTCTTCCTCACAAACCTCACTTCATATTCATGGCCATTTTCAATTTCAATTTCCTTCCATTTCTTTTTTCCCCCATATCAATGTATATTCTTCTCTCAAAAATGGCACTTATTGGCTGGACCATTTCTTTTTTTTTCATTATTAAGTTTATTTATTGGTACATTTTAGGTATACAATATAGTTACATTCATCATTGGGATCTTGTACCTTTACATGATGCATCTTGGTTCTTATTTTTTCCCCATTCCTGGCCCTCCCTTCACCCCCTCCACCCTTCCCTATTTACAGATAATTTGTTTCCATTTTTTTCCTTTTCTCATATTTTTTCTTTTCCCTTCTTTCCTTTCCCCATCCCTCCCATTTCCCCTATTCCTTTAGACCTTTTCTTCCTATTTATCAAATATACATTTTGATCCTTATTTACACTTTTAGTTTTTCACACCAGAGAAACTATTCAGTATTTACATATGTGTGTCTTATTTATTTCACTTAAGAGTATGGCCTCAATGACTTAGATATAAATGTCTCTAGTTTCTCGTTCTTTATGGCTGAGTAATATTTAATTATTCACCATCTTGAAATGTAGCCTACTATTGTTTATATCTCTCCAACCTGTAAATATAGGTTCATATATTTTTTATACAAAAAAAAAGAATGTTTCACAAAAATGTCAAACATCTTTCAATGTTCCCACTATTCCAAAATAAATGTCATACATGGAATGTGTAAAAGCTGAGAATAAAAACATAAAACCTGTTTTATTACTGATATTTGTTTTTCCCAATTCTGAATATCTATATGGAAGAGAACTTCCTTTCTTTGGTTAAGTCTAATACTGACAGAAATTAAACTTCAAAGCATTAGAACAGAATATCTAAATAAAAAAACCATTTCAAAAACCTGTAAGTATAGATTCCATTCGAATTGATTTTAAAATAAATTATTCTGCCACAATATCATATTTTCCAATACACAATACATGTTACCATGTAACAAGCATTATGCACATGTATTAAATATATTTTCAGTTAATCATCAGTTAATATCTATCTATGCATGGCATTATTTTTCTAACTTTACAGACTAAGGCACAGAGAACGTAGTAACTTTGCATAAGCTTACACAGCTAGTATGAGCCAGGGAAAATTTTAGAATTTAAATGTCATTTAAATATCTTGAGTTTGCACACAAAAAAAGAAAAGCCTATTCATCTGAAGGGTAATCACACAAACACAACGTATGTGCAAATATCCACAATTATAAATTAATTATTCTTACAACATTTTACTTAATACTATGTAATAAATATTCTGATAGTTCTACACAATGGCAAACTCAGCTATTTATAAATATCCCCAACTTTCCATGAGCAATAGTACTAATAATAAATTCTTCGCTAATCTCAAACCACACTATTTTAAAGTTGTTTCCTGAATTCAGATCCAGTTGATTTATTTACATAAAACTCAACCTTTCACCAACTATTTGTACCACGAAGTTCTCAGATGTTTTGTAAAACTATTTTAAAACTTTGAAAAATAAGCCTGCAGGAAGCCTTGACTTACTGAAAAGCATTGTGGACCCTTGCTTTTTCCTCTCCTCTTCCAGCCTGCCATGTTAAATCCTTATTCAAAAGCCATAATAAAGTTAAAGAAACTCTAGGTTTCAAAGTATTACAAGTTCACTAGGGGCAGGTCGGATGTTCACAAGTGTAGATGCCAGGATTCAAGTCATGATAAATATAGCAAAGCAACACAATATTCCTTGTTTCCGTTAGTTTTCTGATCTTCAGCTTTCAATGGTGTATCATGTCATAAGGTAAAATTAGGGGCATCTAACCCAAAATACTTCACACATAAATGTGGCCTAAAATATTCATACTTTCTATCTCTGAAGGAAAATATATAATTCTGAAAATTCCTAATGAGAATTCCTTATGATCCTTTTCTTAACTGGGTAATTAATGCTTAAAATTTACTAGAAGAAATATTTTGGAGTAGGTGAGGCTTCTGCTTTTGATTTTAAATTATCACAAGGAAATAACAGAAATTGTCTTTACCTTCTTTCGTAACCCGCACACCACCCAGGGTGGGTACAGCCTTGTTTCCAAAGCTTGACCATGTGTGTGAAGGCCCGGACACAGGGCTGTGGGAGTCCTACCACAGTCAGCTTCTGTTCTTCACAAACATTTGGCCTTGAAAAAACAGAACAGTAATGTGATGAAAATATATGCTTTGTATATGAGCATGAAGCATTTATCTCTCCATTTTCCAAAAAAAGTTTGTGATGTCTTACAAAAATACATAAAGTGAAGAGAAAAATACAATATAAAAAAATCTGAGCCCCATAAAGTACATGCAATTACAACATGTCAATTAAAGACTTTTTTATAATCCAAGACCAGAATAGATTTTTAAAGAGCAGGAAAAATTTCAAAGCTGGATCTATAAGTCATAATTTCCCTTACAGGTAGAAAACTTGAGCTACATATTAATTTTGAGCTTTTGGTAGTCAAAATTCTAAAAAAATGTCAGATTTCTCAATCTTCATGATGAAAAAGCAAATCTATTCATTAAAAGAAGTTAAACTTTTCCTGGAAATTATTTCTGAACATTTTTTCCATCTGTACATTTAGCTGAATTTTACATGAAATACTTGTTAAAACACAAATATTTTTAAAATTAATTTTATTGGTACATTTAAAGTATACAATATAATGACATTCATCATTAGAAATCTGCACCTTTACATAATACGTCTTGGTTCTTATTTTTTCCCCATTCTCCTGCCCTCCCTTCAACCCCTCCACCTTTCCCTATCTACAAAGACTTTGCTTTCATTTCTCCTTTTTCTCATATTAATTTCCATTCCTTTTTTCCCTTCCCCTACACCTCCTACTTCCCCTTCCCCTTTGCACCTTTTCTTCCTATTTCTCATTATGTATTATGCCTTTTAGTCTTTACACTTTCAGTTTCTCACACCAGAGAAACTATTCAGTATTTACATGTGTGTCCTATTTATTTCACTTAAGAGTATGGCTTCAATGTGCATATACTTAGCTACAAAAATGTCTCTAGTTTCTCGTTCTTTATGGCTGAGTAGTACTCCATTTAAAAAAAAAAGTCATCTTTATCCAGTCCCCAGTTGATGGGCAATTCATCTGTTTCCAAGTTTTAGCTATTACAATCTGTGCTGCTATAAACATGGGTGCACATATATCGCTGTGGTATGATTATTTTAATTCTTTTGGGAAGATACCCAGCAGGGGAATAGCTGGGTCAAATGGGACTTCCAGTCCTAGTTCTTTGAGGTATCTCCACACTGATTTCCACAGTGGTTGTACCAGTCTACACTCCCACCCACAGTGGAGCAGGGTTCCTCTTTCCCCACAGCCTCACCAGCATTTGTCATTGGTTGATTTCTTGATAGCAGCCATTCTTTCTGGGGTGAGGTGGAATCTCAGTGTTGTTTTCATTAGCATGTCTCAAATGACCAGTGATATTGAATATTTTTTCTTATGTTTATTTGCTATTTCTACTTCTTAACACAAATATTTTTTAACCTGCAACATTATATTAATATTTCCTTATATAAAATTTTAAAAGATTTACAGAACTCTAGACACATTATCTTCAATTTTAAATGTTTCAGGCTAGGGCTGCAGATGTATGTGAATGGTAGAGCACTTGCCTAGCATGCATGAAGCTCTGAGTTCAATCCCCAGTACTGAAAAATAAAATAAAATAAGATTAGATAAAAGTGTAGAGCTAGATTATATTGACAGCCTAGAGGGCTAGAGTTAATTTTTATACTCTTATTCCATAATTTAAGGAATGCTTTACTCAGAGATCAATGATTTACTAGTTCACATCACTTTGCCTTTGCAAATAATACTAATTATAACAGCAAGTTAAGCCTACTGCTCATACTTCTCATGCATTTCAAATTACTTACAAGATATCCATTGACTCCACTGGGAATACAAGAAATGATTCAAACTTTAACAGTGAGTTTTGTAAATCTAGCATTTGACTTTGGCTTCCTACTGTCAGGAAGTTCACAATGTGGTTTAGTATCCATATTCACAATCTGTTGAAAGTAAGAAAGATCTTGGATTTAGGGTCTTGGATTTTGGATTAGTCAGATAAGTCTCTGTGAACTTATCCAGAACGCATTGTTGTTGTCTTGTCCTCAGCATCAGCAGCAGCAGCATCCTCATCCTCCTCCTCCTCATCATGGTCATCCTGATAAACATCTAATAGTACTTCTTCTGCTATATGTATCAGTTACATCAGCCTCCAGGACTGCAGTATCTTTTTGTTATCACTCCTTTCTGTGTCTCCGAAGCTCATTAACTGATTTCACTTACAACCCAATTCTCCCTTCCAGATATATTTCTAAAATGTTCTTGTTTGGATTGTTAACCTCACCTTCACTGAACAAAATTTATAATGAGCTTTATTTCTGAGTTTGTATAGCACATTTTCACACTGTAAATATCCTATTAAAGCAATAAGTATAAAAACTCAGCTGAGGCTAGGTATCTATAAAATTATCAAAAAATCTAAAAAATTCTTAGCTTTTAAAACTTCTGTATTACATGTCTATAAACCACTACACCAACACTGCTATGTGGCTTCACATGATTTTTATAAACCAATTAGCCTCAATTGGAATGAACTTACAGACCTTTTATTTTTTGGCAATAGTTCGAAATGTTACACATCATTCTACCTTGAACTCAATTTTGTAACCTCTTTTTCATGTATACATTCATCTATCCACCCATCCATCCATTCAAATATCACTTATTCTATACCTATGTGAGTAAGCAATCATGTTAGACGTATTTTCCCAATCAAAGATTTGGGACAAGTTTTCTTAGGAAGTACATTAAAACACTGATCAGTAAGTGATGAAATGAGACAGGAGTGAGAGTGAACTAAGAAAGGATGTATTACCCTCAGTCTCCTGGACCCCTTCCCATTTGCGGGAGATCTATCCCCTTGTCTCCTTCTGTATATGTACCCACTCCCAACAAGACTGTAAACTGCAGGTACTGAAAACATGCACTACTACTACTAATTAAAAGGAAGCATTTCCTAGCCAATTAACATCATCGATGACTGTTTCTCCACAAGGGAGAGGACATCTTTGAATTTATACACTAATTCCTGTCAGTGATTTGCTGAGGGTTTCTCCTTCCACAGCATTTTAGACCTAAAGCACAGACAGGAAAAGTCAGCTTCCAGCAAGCAAAGTAAGTCCTCAAGGGAAAAAAAAAATGCAATGCTGGCAAGTGAAAGCCTGGCAGGTGCGCAGCGGTAAAGAGGAGGGGCCTGGGTGTGGGAGCTGGCAGATGCAAATCACAGAAAAAAGAAAGTTTGTGTTTTGGATATGTTAGTAATCTTGAAAAAAAGGAGGATGAGTGAAAAGCACTTAAATAGATACAAAATGTGACATGTTAAAATGAAAGTAATCAGGGGATAAAGTAGAAACAAAGGTAGCATGCTTATAGTCATTAATGAGGAGAGGATTCTTTGGAGACGATTCTGTCAGGATGGAACAGAAGCCGGTCCTGGATGAGCCAGGGAATTCTATTCAGGCAGAAGGAACAGAATGAGCAGAGAGTCCAAAAGGAAAAACACTTCACAGATCCACTTCCCACGATGGGGTGCTTGGTGGGATAGCCATCTTTCCAGGCCAAGAAGTTTTGATGTTATTCTCCGTGCACAACAATCCACACCAACATTTACAGCTCTGATTTCTGGACACACCTCACAAGCTGGGATCTGGAGATGGACATGTGATGCTGTCTTACTGTAGAAGATTCAGCAGCCACAACACCAACCCTACCCTCCTTGAATCCGGTGAAGTCTCCATTCAGGGATAACTAATGACAGCCACTGGGACATTCCAAAACAAATGTGTAAACAAGCATCACCAGAACTTTCCACCCTTCAAAGTCCTGCATACAGTGCATATAAATTCTCACAACTACCTGTTCCATGAACTACTTCTTAAATGATACTCCCACATGTGGGCATAACAAACTGTTCTCTTATTAAGTTGTTTCAATTAATTCACTAGAATCTAAATTGGTAGAAAAAAGGTTTCTCTTCCTGTACATAGAAGAACTGGGTATTACTGATTTCTAATCAAATTATACATATACCAAAGACTATCATCTGTGATACTGATTTTTTAAAATCTGTAAATATAATGATATCTATCACTGGATACATGGAAAAATTTATGTAGCTGTCTGATTAAAAGTTATGCATACATGTATACTTAATGGATATTCATTGGTAATAACAGCATGGATATGAATGTATGTATATATACATATTCAAACTTCTACATTTTGTTGACAGTTCTCTATACTTACTAAATGTTTTTTCTCTGCTTGGATCCTGAAAGATATATAATGAAATCTCTCACTATTTACTTTTTACATTATTCTATAATTCTGACAGTTTAGTTCTTTTATATTTTGAGGATATTTTGTTAAACACAAGTTGATGATTACTGTATATACTTAATGAATCACTCCTTTATTACGTTGTGTTTCTCCTAAATCACAATAATGTGTTGTATATTGTTTTCTTTTACCTTAAATTTATTTTCTAATGTTAACATTTTATACATGCTTTCATTTAATTAACTTTCTTAGTTATCGTTTATTACTTTAAATCTTGCTATACATTTTTAGCAGTCTATTATTTAAAAATCTAATTTGCTAATTTCCGGTTTTATAATAAGTAAATATAGTTACATAAATTTTCATCACAAGTATACCTGTACTAATTTTATCATATCATTCTTTAGCTTTTGTTTTCCAGAAGTTTGTATTTATTGTTGCTCTATTATGCTTTCTGGATGAAAAAGAGTTTACTATCATTTTGTTTTGCACAATTTATGTAGTCTAGTTCTAAATTATAATTCTAATATTTGAATGGTTTTCTTTATACTTTTTAATCAAAATATATGCTTTTTTAAAATAATTTAAATTTATTTATTGTGACATAGTGAAGAATTTGATCTTTTCCTGTATTCCTGCTAAATGGCTCCTACCAACCATAGAATTGCCTCCGTGATAGGAGTACACATGTAATCATAATGTGGTGACTTATTATGGCCCCGTAGAGAGTTTCAGGACAGGGGGTGGTCCCTGGACAAACCAAACACATG